TAGTGGGAGCAGCTGGGACACCTGCAGGCTCTCCTTGTTTCCCAGCTTTTAAAATCACATGACCTCTGTCCTGTACTGGTGGTGCATGACAATGATCACTTTCCAGTCTGCAGCTTCCCAGTTTCCAGTTGTCTGCAGAATTCTGTAAACTGCAAAGAGGAGAGGTGTGTGTGTGGAACTGTGTGTATGCAGCTTATATGTTTTTCTCTCTCTAAATTTAGCTGTGCTTCAGATATAGGGAGGGAGGAGAAATGTCCTAGAATCTCACTAGCTACTGTGCATATAGCTGGCCTGTCCCTTTTGCAGAGCACTTGTAGCATCCTTTAGCAAAAGACACCCTTCCATTGATCCCTCTGAAACTCTCTGCATTTCTGCTTTGCTCAACATGAGACTTCTTGATCAAATGAAAAAGTAGTTGGAAATGAAACACAATGTAAAAGACTCTAAATACCTGAAAGCATTACATGAATGTTAAATACTTCGTTTTATTCATAGTGATCTTACTAGTGTACCACCTAGCTGGATGTGTAGGATATCCCATTTTATGCTCAGAGCAAGAACTCTGTAACTGAGACCAGGCAAAAGCAACACATCTATGCTAATGCACTTGACACCTCAGCCTTCCTTCTCTAGAGCTCTTGTTCTTTGCCAGAAAATCAAGGTGTATCAGCAAAAAAAAAATTTATCCAGTCTTTTGAAATGTTTATGAAAGCAGCTGTCATAAATTACTGTATAAATGGACTGTGTTTTAATTGTTGGATACTGTATGTAACAATTATCTGAAAAGATAACGGATGAACATTTAATTGTTTCTCTTCCATCTCCACCCCACTCCTAGACCAAAGCTAGGGTACAGGTAAAGTATTTTTCTCTGTTTTCTTGTAACTGAGGTGCCACTGCTTTCTCCTCTCTTTCTCAAAAATTTTCTGCAAATTATTTTCAATGCAGAGGAAGTTCAGATGCTCCATTTAAAAGTGTCTTGTACTTTTATTCCCAAACTATTATGCTCTTGACTTATGTGGATTTGGAAGCCTGCTCTGTGCTCAACTTCCACTACAGTTTACACAGCTTTTCATTACCATAGGACCATTAGTGCTGCAGCTCTCGCAAGCCACTACCATCGTTGCCCTTAAGCAAGCGACTATCCGTCTTTCTATTTCATGTTTAAAATACTTTAAGCTCTGAAGCTAAAATACTTGGGCAAGCTGCACAGTCCCAGGGCATTCCCAGAAGAAGGGAGCAGTACCACTTCTGAGTATTCTCTGCCTCGAAAACTCTGGAAAATCAGAATTGAGTTGATGGGGTGCTATTATTATTTATTATTACACTTCCAGTATTTTAAACACAAAATGGTTGCTTTCTTAAACTATTGAGCTATCCAGAACATGAATAACTTTGAAAGTGATCACAGTGAGCTGTAATATTTACTAGCAATGAAAGTACAATGTAAGTACAATGTAAGTAAGGTTTTTCTTACTGGCTTCTATTTTTGTACGTATTTCCTGAAAATGTTCTAATACCTTTTTCATAAACTTGTTGATTTCAAAAGCATTTCTCTTAGTACTAATAATTAGTACCGGACACTCAAGATTTAGACCTTTGGGGAGGTAGATCACAAGACTACTTTGAAGTCCACCTTGCTTAAGGCTTTCTCCCAGTCAGTCCTACCTTCTTGTTCATGTTCTAACTAGCTGAGTGGACCTGGGCACAAACTACCAGTTCAGTAGTTCATAATGGTTTGTCCTTTGGATTAATAAGTGTCCTGCTGGCACCCTGGCTTCCCTCCCCCACCTCCACCCGTGGACATCTACTCAAGAGAAGGAGGCAGAGCAGGGAAGCCCGGGATGCTGCCTCTGAGTGGGTGCCTGCCAGAGGAGGTGGAGGAGGGAAGCTGGGGCACCTGCAGAACACCTGTCTGCACAAAGGACAAACCATTATGAACCACTGAATTGGCAGTTCATGTCCATATCTTGTTCCATCCCACCCCCTCTTACACAGGAGTACGAGTAAACCCAGGCAGTAACCTCTATAAGGTAGAACTAATGACAGAGGTACATCATGTACTAATCTGAAATATACAGGCATTTTCAATCTAGGTCCAGGCTGACCAGCTTCTTAATATGGGGAGATGAATTTCCTGGAAATGTTGCATGACCTGATTGTCTCTCACATTAGCAGCTTGACCAGTAGAGTCTTCTCTGTTCCTCTATCCACTCCATCCCAGCCAAGAGCCTGAAAGTGATGCGTATGTGCAAAATGGAAAACAGGGGCGGGAAAGCTGTACCTTCAGGGTGACATATTTCATTCCCCAAGGAAATCACCCTCACCTTCCATCGCCTGGATGGGGACTGAAGAATGAAGCATAGCATTCTAATTAGCAACAAGCAAGAACTCACATTTTAGATCTCTATATGGTATAAGTACAATAGTTGGAGCAAAGACCCTAGGGTGTGTGCACTATATATTGTTACAGAACAGACAAGTTCAATGCCAATCTTCTATCCCAACTCACAGAGTTTCTATGCTGTACCCTAGCTAACTTAACCTGCTGTGTAAATCTGAATAATCTCAGGGTGCAATCCAATATCCACTTATTTGGAATTAGAATTCCATCAGAATGAATGGGATCTAGCTCCTGAGTAGGCACGCACAGGACTGCACTATCAGTCTCTAGTTCTCAGTAGTTAGTATGGAACAGATTGAACAACAAAGCATACAGTCCCAACCCATTGCCAAGTCTGCTACCGCACAAAGAGCAAATTTACACGCTACTTCCTAATTTCTGACCTATAGAACTGGCATGTTCTGCTGGGAGTCAGCTCAGCGCTTGAACTGCAAGATGGTCCAGAGAGGGAATCAACTCCCTCTTTTCTTTTTTTACTGCTTTTCCTCCGAAGACAGAAGGGAGGTTCAACTGAGGGAGTCACTGTTTGGGGTTTGTATATTTTTGTTAATGAACCCCCTTACCTCCCTCCCTTTTCACTAATAATCTGAGCAGACAAGCAAACAATCGCAGACAAGAGGTTCAGCAGCAGGTGTTAGGCGAGGATGCAAAGGTGGCTGGGAAAGCTTCACTAGTCTTTTGGTGCAGGAGGTTTGCTTCCATGCAATGTTAGCCTGGAATGCTTCAAGCTAATGTCATTTTATGTGAACTGCATCCTATCCATGCATAAAAGTGTCTCTGTGCTTGTTTCACTCGAAATATCCATCCAATCGCTCTTGTGAGCCACGCTAAAAAAGGGGGTAAATATTAGAGCAGCAGTCCCTCACAAGACTGCAAATGTCCTACCTGCCCTGTACAGTATGTAGACAAGCTCCCACTGCCACATACTTTTCAACTCTGGCTCTGACTCCTGCAGGTCTGCAGTCTGCCAACAGCAGCCTGGGCCCCAGAAGACTAATTCCACAATCCTTAGTTAACACAAAGCTATCCTGGGGATTTACCACCTCAGCAGGCTTGGTTAACAGTACAGAGATGGAGGAGATTTCCCAGTGCCAGTACCTCTCCAGAACCAGACCCAAATGGCATGCTTTTTCTTTTTCTGGGCCAGGTTCTAGCTCTTTCCTTAGCTCAACTGGCAATCCCGCTTGCAGCACAGTCCTATCCAGCTGTTGGCATAGCTCTGCAAATCCACCCGAATTGAGAACCCCATTCCTGATGGAGGCCATAACATCACTTACACGGTTACCTTCAGTGGAGTACTGACCTATACTGTCAGCCTCATGAGTTCTCCATATCCCCCTGCAAGGCAGTCCTCTTGCAAACAAAATCAGTACTGCAGGCAAGCCCTAATATCCTCCTCTGCTGTCCTGCACCAGTCTTTTTTTCCCCAGAAGTCTGGGCTGCACAAAGCTCCAGGTAACTACCATCTTTCACTACCTGCTGGGAAGGGATGCAACAGACAGACAAAATACACTGTGATCCAAGGCCCACTCCACTTTCAGCCCCACTGAGGAGCAAGTGAAATGAAAAGAAATGCAACACAGATCAAAGGCGAGGTTATAGATTCTGAGTGCTGGCTGGTATGGAAGACCTAAGAAGGATCTTGAATAGATGCAATATTTAAGAAAGAAAGGGTTGATAACATATAGCTGTTTGGTAGTGGCAGCAATAAGATGCAACCAACATATGGATTGCTGTCTCCCTAATTGAACTAGAGGAGACAAAAAAAAACCCAACAAAACACTAGGCAACATTTTACAAGCTGAAGTGGCCAATGTTGCTGAAACAGGTGCCCACTGCATGCTGAAGGGTCAGTTAAGTACAGTGTGTATGGTTTATCGGTTAAATGCTGCATCAAAGAAGGACTCCTTGAACCTGAATGAGAGGTGAGGATCTGGGCCTGACGGTTGCCAGATGTAGAAGAAAAAAATCAGGTGGCTTGCATGGAAGTGGGACGTAGGAAAGAGAAAAGAAAGCCACAGAGGCTCTGCTTGGGTCATGCTCTCTGGACAGCCAGGATTCAAGGTGGCTCTTGAGGTGACTGCAAGGCGTCGAGTGGGGGGTGCTGAACTAGATGCATGGTGGCACAGGATGGGAGGGTGTTTCAGCAATGTGCTGCAGGGACCGCATTCAGGAGGGCGATTCCCGCAGACAAGGGAGTAAGGGCACCTCGGGTGGAGGAACGCGGGTGATACGAGGGCAGACGGAGGAGTGCGGTACGGAATCTGGGTGAAGGGTGGATCGCGCTGCTCAGGGATGCAGAGTGAGGGATCTATGGGCAGAGAGAGAGAGGGGTGTGGATGATGCGGGCGCGGATTCGGGAGCAGGGCGGGATGGAGCTCGCGCGCTCCCGGTACCTGTGAGGCTCTGCCTTGCTCCGCACTGCTCGCCGCCGCCGCCGCCGCCTCGGAGTGCGGTACGGAATCTGGGTGAAGGGTGGATCGCGCTGCTCAGGGATGCAGAGTGAGGGATCTATGGGCAGAGAGAGAGAGGGGTGTGGATGATGCGGGCGCGGATTCGGGAGCAGGGCGGGATGGAGCTCGCGCGCTCCCGGTACCTGTGAGGCTCTGCCTTGCTCCGCACTGCTCGCCGCCGCCGCCGCCGCCTCCGTCGTCGTCTCGG